TGATGTTGTTAAGGGATTAGCAATGCCATGCATGAAGTTATGATTAGCTAAGTAATTGGTGACACTTACACAGGGCTTTTGCCAGGAGGGGTGGGGAATAACACTGTTTGTTGTTCATATAATTAGATTTTTCATCTCAAGTAAAAAAGCAAATTGAGTACAAAATGCCAGCAGACCTGAAGTGGCTGCTCAAAGTTGATGTGGGTCTTTAATTACAGGACTCATCAGATGTAGGACTTCAGACTCACCAGGTTGTACTGATTTGCATTCAGAAATGTTAAAACCTCTGAGACAACAAATTACTGGTCAGCTCTGCAACTGCGCTGGCCACCACCAAATGTGAATCATTCATTCTGGCACTTATATGAGGATATGTAATCAAATCCCACTTGAGGTACCTTGAAATAATTCTACTGCTCTGCCCTGGAAACTTTAGTCAGTCAGTAATCAGGGCTTCTGTTCTTTTCCTCATTGCTCTTTCCAGGTTGGCAGCAGATGAACCTCTGTGGTCAGAGATTTGCTAATGCATTGGCTCAAAGGCACACATTTCATGTTTCCAGTGCCCTCTCATTTCCTGCCTCTCAAGATATTACCTCTCCAATGATCCATTTCAGTGTTCCTAATAATTACCCTGCTCTTGAGACAGTGACTATGAGAAAGATTTCAGTGTGACTGACCTCTCATTTTCCAAAATATGATCTTCTTCTATTGCCTTGCCTGAGAGTTCTGTAAAATCTTATCATCCTTGTACTATCCAAAGCTGTGGCCCAAATTAAGAGGAGTGAAAAATTGGGAGAACCATTTTTTGCTGGAGAATGAGGGGCAAGGCAAGGAGTGTTTTGTGTTTCTTTAAAATATAACTTTACTAATGACTAATGTTGACATAGTTAACTATAGCTATGATGTAAGCATTAATTTTTAAATAGTATAATGTAAATCCAACAAACTATCTTTTCCAGGTCTTCTAACTAAAAATTAAAGAGGAAGTTCTTTTTGTTAACATGATATTGTTTTTTTCAGCAATCCTGAATTTCTCTTTCATATTTTATTATTTGCTTTCTAAAATTCAGTGGAATCCCTTGGTTCCTGTATGTTCTGAATTTCTTAAATTCATTCAATTTACTTTGTGAACATATGCTCATACTTAAGTGTGAGGTACCTCAAATACTTTTTGTAAACTATAACTTGCAGAAAGGGCAAATCCTTCATGTTATTTTCTAGGCCTGTTCTAACCATTCTTGAATTGGGGGCTTATATTTAATAGCAAATGAAAAACTCACAGTTCACTGATGGTGAACCTTTTAGATCTTTCAGTGATAACAAACGGCCCTCTACCAAACACACGCTGTAGGTTTGCCGCCACTGGATACAATCCTGAATTTTGCTAAATATTGCCATTTACAGAGGGGAATATGGAGGTATATGGAGGTGGGAACAGCAGGATCTGCTCATCAGGGAAAAGCCTTAAGAGAAGCACCTTGGCCATGAGAAGAGAGAAGCCTTAGGACATGGTAGAGGTAAAGGGTGGAGGAGAGGTTAGGAGGTACCTTTCTTGCCAGAGCTGTGTTAGAGAGGGATATGGGAGGTTCCTTGGATCTAGAGAATGCTCTATTCTTTTTAACTTATGAATTTAACACACATTTATTGACTACTTTCTCTGTCTGGCACTCTGGTGGATCTTGGGGACACAACATTGAAGAGGTAAGAGTTTTAGTCTTAAGTAATTCATAGTCAAAAGTGAGACAGAAATAAAATCAAGTTTCATTATAATATCCACATGAAAAATGCTCTTCAAAGGTATGTATAGACTACTATAGAAAAGGGGGAAGAACATAGAGATCAGTTTTGAAAAGTAAGGGAAGGCTTTTAAGAAAAACTGTGTTTTAATATTTTTTCCTCATTATACTCATTAAAGACTTTAATTGAAACCTTACCACATTTTGTTGGCATGTAGCTTGAGTTTGATAATGTGGGTAAGTGATAGAGGTCAAAATCAGGGATCTTGGATTGTGCTAACTCTCCAGTTATGACTCTCAAATTCAGAAAAAGAAAATTTTACAATCTTATTCTAGTCTGGTATGCAGTTGTAATACATGTTCCATGAAAACTTCCCTGTGCTTAAGACAAATTCACAAAAGGAATAACAAATGACGCCTGGCATATAACTAAATTTGTTCAGAAGCTTGATTAAGGCAGAGGTTTTTGAACTCTCAGTATGAGCTCAAATTTTTTAAGACCCAAGACAGATACAAGACATCAAGGGATTGAAATCAATGGAATTGTACAATAAATAGAGTATCTGTAACAATTTAACTCCACCTCAAGCAAATCTTACTGTATGATTTCTCAATTTGCCTGATTGTAATACTTTGATTAAAACTAAATTGGGTTATCAGTTCGTTAAGATGGAGAGCTGGCATTTCAGAGAAGTTGGCTGCCTTCCAGGAGGGAAAAGAGAAAGAACACATTTAGAGAGATTTATCTGAGGGAAATTGTACTTAGCTAATAAATTTGTTATTAGTAGCTAGGAGTCCAAAATCTTTGAATCTAAGATTACTTTTCTCTCATGAAATTATCCTTGGTAAAGGCATCTAAATATTTAGCATTTTACCTGAAAGGATTTCTTGTTATCTGTGCTCAATTCATAACATTTCTTAGCTGAACTTACTTATATAATAATCACAAATGGAAGCGTGAATTTCAGGTTCCACCTTAGAGTGTGGTAACTTTGGAAATGGCTAACAGGAGCATCTTGAGGGAAATATTAAACTGGTGACTGCATTCACTGAGCAATGGAAGACCCAGAGATGGAGCAGCAGCCGCACTACACAGTTCTTCATAAGGGAAAGCATCCATTGATATGACTAACATTTATCGAACCAAACAATAAGGGCGAGGATCTGTGCTAAAAACACTGTAGTACAAGGCTGAAAAAATCCTACTTCTTACCTAGCAACAAATTGCAGCCTGGAGGAGAAGTCAGAACTAGAAACAAATAAAACACACTGCAGTGCATTAACTGTCCTAAGAAGAGTGGAAAGAGAAAAGGCACAGTAGAGCTCAGAAGATAAAGTACTAATTTTGTCTGAGATCATAAAGTGGTTTTCCATTACTGCCTGTCTAAGCTCTTGAAGGAGGTGGAGCTTAAAGGAGGAAGGAGGGAGAAGAGAGGAAGGATCTTCAAGTCAGAGGAAGCGTCAGACTCCAGGGAGAGTGTGCTGAGAGGACCTGCTGAGCAGCATTACAGTGGTGATAGTGTAAGACCTAAAATCTCACTTCCACTCCACGGAGCATGAACAGCCAAAAAGGCCCCCACGAAGCTGGGCCCTAACACCCAGCGAGGCTCCGGGAGCTCGACGGAGAACGAGAAACCCAGGAAGGAACACACCAGGCTAGATGGTAAAAGACCTTTATTAGTCTGGCCAGACGGCACTCTCAGAACCAAGTGGCTAGCTCAGAGAGGCGCCTTGCTCAGGGGCCGAGGTCCTCTTATAGGGAGTAAAAGGAGGGGGTTAACATTTTGGGCTCACAGACAGGGGACAAAGGTCTGCTGGCTTGAGCTGGAGGTCAGCAGTCACATATTGATGAGTAACAGGTACCACCTATAGGATGTCTCAAAGGTCACTAAGACACTCCGGAAGAGCAAACAGTTTGTCAATTAGCTTGGGCTCCGTGTCTGGAGTCTCTAATTTACAGGTAGATTCAGATCCGGACTTCAAACAATACAAGAGTGACTTACATTCTTAGGCCCGGGCAGGAACAAAGGTCGGGGCTGTGGCTACAATGGGAGGGGTTCAGGACACTGTCTCCTAGGCCCTTTGCCATTTAGCAAGGGCTTGTAATTTAGGTCCCACATTCCCCACTGATTTTTGGGCCTAAATCAAATCATTGATTTATTTATATCTAGTCCTAATTCTTGAGAAAGGGATACACTGTAAAAAGCAACAGGTTATCACAATACAAATTCCTAATGCCATTATACAAAGTATCAGCTGCTTTAACCAGGTAATGTCAGGTAACCAACTTGTTAGCCATTTAAACAAGTCCCAGCCTATCTGTTCATTATGAACCTTTGTAGCTAAGTCTTTGAGTGCTTTTATGTCTTGCTCTATAGCTGGCCCATTATTCGTCAGATTGAAGCAGCACATATTTTTAATTCTTTCACAACCCTGATGGTGAAATAATAGCAAATAGTCTATTGCTGCTCTATTGTCTAGGATTGCCTGTCTCTGCTCCTGGAGTTCTTGGTTAATTAGTGCCAGGGCTGCAGAGGTGGTGTTTAGTCCCTTGACTACCTTGCAAGCCAGTTTTCTAACTGCCTTTTCAGCATGAATTCCAATTGCAGGCTGACCTATTACAGAAATAATCATAGGAATAACTTCAGCATCTGTTAAAAATCCTATATCATCGTCACACCCTGGTGAAGTATAGGGGGACCACCGCTTCATTCTGTTTGGAGTAAGGAGATCTCCCCTTTCAGGTAGCACAGCTGTTAATCTACTGAGACAACAGCGGGTCTTGGTCAAATTAGCTGGTATGTAATTATAAGTTATTCCTTCACAAGTATAAAACCATCCCAGTGGCAAGGTAATGTGACATTTGTTATAAGTGACCTTTTGCTCTCTGGGACATTTCATCCCATTTGTCCGTTTAAGTTTTAGACATTGGGAAGTACAGTTTTCGTATCTAGCACACTGGGTTTTGTTGGACATAACTAGTCTGGGAGTATATAGTGTGATAGCATTTTTTGGTTTACGGCAGGTTGTCTGTCCCCATTGAAAACTATCAGCATAACTAAGTTTCTTTTCTGGGATGTCTTTAAATATAGTATATGGCCTTATACCTTCTAGTGGGGCACACACTGGAATTAAGCAGTTCCCAAGTACATAGTGGAAGTTCACATCAGCATTTAAACAGATTTCAGTCAAATTTAAGGATTCAGCTAACTGCACCCAAACATTTTTAGTATGGCCTAAGTTTCCCTTGGGCAAAGCTGTTATAGTCCCAGGGAAAATCACCCAGATGATGATGAGGCAGGTCCAGCTGATTGAAGTTTTACTTTCAGTTCTCTGGGCTTGCTGATAACTCTCCATCTTTCGGGCGTCTCTGGGTTGTCGTTCGTCCCGGGCTTGAGGTGGCTTCGGTGTATCCACGTCGGGTGTCCAGCGACCTTCACAGCCAAGGGGGTAGACAGGATGACTGGAAAAGGCCCCTTCCATCGTGGCTCTAATGTCTTGGAATCGAACCTGCGAATATAAACCAATTCTCCCGGCTTATAGGGCAGTGGCTGTAGAAGTTTCTCAGATGGGAGCGTCACAGACTCCCTGACTCGTTCTTGCAACTGAGACTGTATTTCATGCAGAGCCCTCAGGGACTTAAGCAGCCTCAGATGGGAAAATTTTTCTTTCAATTCTATATCTATATGGGGAACCAGTGGAGGAGGACGCCCATAGATGATTTGGAAGGGTGTCATGTTCAGAGGAGGCTTGGGAGTACATCGAACACGCAACAGAGCGAAAGGGAGAAGCTCGACCCAATTTAATTCAGTCTCCAGGCTCAATTTGGTTAAAATCTCCTTTAGTGTTCGGTTAGCCCTTTCTACCTGTCCTGAACTCTGAGGCCTATAAGCACAATGTAATTTCCATTCAATTCCAACACTACGGCTAATTAGTTTAGAAACTTTAGCCGTGAAGGCTGGGCCATTGTCGGACCCCAGGGCTAAGGGCAGGCCAAATCGAGGAACTATTTCAGTCAAGAGTTTCTTTACTGTTACCTCAGCTGTCTCCTTTTTAGTGGGGTAAGCTTCTACCCATCCTGAAAATGTATCTATAAATACTAGAAGATATTTATAGCCATACATGCCTAATTTCATTTCAGTAAAGTCCAATTCCCAATGTTCTCCTGGAGTCAGCCCTCTATATCGGACCCCTGGGGGCCCTGTTACCCGATTCGCGTTTACCTTGAGGCAGGTGGGGCATCGTCTCACCCTGTCTCGGGCCTTCTGGGCTAGTCCTCTGCTGACAAAGTGGGGCTGCAGGAGGGCCATCATTCTTTTGTCTCCCAGATGTGTGGCTGCATGGAGCTCGTTCAGCAAAGTGTCGGCTATTGCTGCTGGCAAGACAACTTTCCCTTCTTTCGTTGTCCACCATCCGTGCTTCCCTCTTGTCCAGTGGTTCTTGTTCATTTCTGTTATTTCTTCTTCTGTGTACTCGGGTCTTTCTGGGAGCACAGGCGTAGGCAGCAGCACCAGTTCTTTCCCCACTGATTTTTGGGCGGCTTGCTTTGCTGCTCGGTCAGCCGCATTGTTCCCGATTGCTTCGGGACTGGAATTCCTTTGATGTCCTGGACAATGGATGATAGCAACCTCCCTCGGCAGCCAGATGGCTTGCAATAGGGCCAGTATTTCAGTTTTGTTTTTAATCTCTTTTCCACTGGATGTTAAGAGCCCTCTATTCTGGTAAATCTGTCCATGCACATGGGCAGTAGCAAAAGCATAACGGCTATCAGTAAAAATATTTATTCTTTTTCCTTTTCCTAATTCCAGAGCCTTAGTTAAAGCAATCAGTTCAGCCTTCTGAGCTGATGTCCCTTGAGGTAGCCCCTGTTCCCATACCATCTGCTGATTTTGATCCACTATCGCTGCTCCGGCATATCGTACTCCTTCACGTACGAAACTGCACCCATCCGTGTAGTAGGTTGCCTCAGGCTGGGGCAGGGCCAGGTCTGTCAGATCTGGACGGCCTCCCCGCAAATTCTCTAGAGTCTCAAGGCAGTCGTGAATGGGCAGTTGGTCATCTGACTCAGGGAGCAGACTAGCAGGATTTAGATTAGATGTTGTGGCAAATTTAATACGTGGCTGTTCTATTAAAAGTCCCTGGTACTGCAACAGTCTAGCATTGGACAGCCATCTACTAGGCGAGCTGTGCAACAGGGGCTCAATGGCATGCGGAGTAATCAGTGTTAGATCCTGGCCAAAAGTCAATTTATCAGCTTCCCGAGTTAAGGTGGCAGCCGCGGCTATCATCCTTAAGCACGATGGCCACCCTCTGGCCACTGTGTCGAGTCTTTTGGACAGATAAGCTATAGGCCGTTTCCAGGGCCCCAAAGGTTGCGTGACCACTCCTTTTGCCACCCCGTTTTTCTCTGCCACATATAAGGTGAAAGGTTTAGTTAAGTCAGGCAGGGCTAAAGCTGGCGCTGTGGTGAGCGCAGTCTTGAGTGTTTGGAATGCCTGCTGGCAAGCCTCTGTCCACTGGAGGGGTGTATTTCCCCCTGCTGTAGCCTCATGCAGGGGTCTGGCAATTTCAGCAAAGCTAGGTATCCAGATTCTGCAATATCCTATGGCCCCCAGGAACTCGCGCACCTGCTTCTTTGAGCAGGGCACGGGAATCTGAAGGATCGCTGACACCCTGGATTCAGCTAACTTTCGTTCTCCTTTTTCAAGAATATAACCCAAGTAAGTTACCTTGGTCTGGCAGAGCTGGGCTTTCTTCCAGGACACTCGATATCCCAGATCTTGTAGAGCTTCCAAGAGGCCTTCAGTGTCCGTGAGACATTCTTTCTCGGTTGAGGTCGCCACCAAGAGGTCATCTACATACTGGAGAATAGTTGCAAAGGGAAAAGCCTCTCTTACCTCTTGTAGGTCCTTGCTCAGAGCTTCCCCAAACAGTGTAGGGGAGTTCTTGAAGCCTTGTGGCAACCGAGTCCATGTCAATTGTCCAGTAGTCCCAGTGTCCGGGTCGGTCCACTCAAAGGCAAAGAGTGGTTGGCTCACTGGAGCCAGGGGCAGGCTGAAAAATGCATCTTTGAGATCGAGGACTGAGTACCATATATGCACAGGCGGGATGAGGCTCAACAGGGTGTAAGGGTTAGGTACCGTTGGGTGAATGGTCTCTACCCGGCTGTTTACCTCCCGCAAGTCCTGTACCGGCCTGTAGTCTGAAGTTCCAGGCTTTCTTACAGGCAGTAACGGTGTGTTCCAGGCTGACTGACATGGAATCAATATCCCAGCTTTCAGAAGTCAGTGTATGTGTTGGGATATCTTTATCTTAGCCTCCAGACGGAGAGGGTATTGTCGCACTCGCACAGGGGAGGCAGTTGCCCTCACTTGAACTACTATCGGGACTTGGTGCTTTGCTAGCCCTGGCAAGTTTGTTTCAGCCCACACCTGGGGAAACTTTTCCCGCAGATAGTTCCATTTTTGTTCTGGAGATTTTCCCTCTTCTCCAATTAGTTTGAATTCTTCCTCTAAAGGGACTGTTACCATGATAGTGGGTGGCGACTTGAGTTCTAAATTTCCCTCTTCATGATTGAAAGAAATGACAGCTCCTAATTTTCTCAGCAGATCTCTTCCCAGCAAAGGATAGGGGCACTCAGGAATAACCAAAAAAGAGTGGGTCACAGTACCTTTTCCCAGGTTTACGGTTCGTGATGTTGTCCAAGGATAAGAGGCAGGCTGTCCGGTGGCCCCAGTAATAGTGGATTTCATGGAAGAAAGTGCCCCGAGGGGAGCTTTGAGGACTGAATGGGCCGCTCCAGTGTCTACAAGAAATTCAACATCTGTTCCCCCTATTTCCAACGTTACCATAGGCTCATCGGGGTTAAGCGGCCATGAGCCTTGGCCCCGTCAGTCTTCTTCTTCTCCTGCAAACAAGATTCCTTCCTTTTTCTTTTCCTGTTCCTTTTTCTGTTTCCATTTCTTACATTCCTTCTTATAATGTCCTCTCTCTTTGCAGTACACGCATTGATCTCTATCTACCCGCGGCCACCTCTTTCCCTTATTTTCCCATCTTTCTCTCTCCTTCTGCATACATTCTTCTCCCCTCAATGCCATAACACTTGCTTTTCCCTTCTTTTTAGTCATTCTATCCTCAAGTGGGTCTCTATTCGTGAACACCTTCATTGCTATGCTCATCAGTTTTTCTCTATTTTCTCCCTCAAAACCTTCCAACCTCTGTAACTTTCTCCGAATATCTGGGGCCGACTGAGCTGCAAAAGCCAGATTAATTGCCTGCCTGTTTGCTGGGGCGTCTGGATCAATGGGAGTGTACGTACGATATGCCTCCAGCAAACGTTCCAGGAAGGCAGATGGGGATTCCTCTGGCCCTTGAAGGACCTCGCTTACCTTACTCAAATTGGTAGGCTTGCGAGCGGCTCCCCTAAGGCCGGCCAGGAGATGCTGACGGTAATTGTGAAGAGCTTCCCTACCTCCCGTGGAGTTCGATTGCCACTGAGGACGGGTGGAGGGGAGTTGAGCGTCAATTCGGGCCTGCTGCTGGCCATCAATGGGGCCCTCGGCACCCCCCAGCACCGACCGAACAGCATGTCCTCTGATCCTTTCTCGCTCCTCAGATGTGAACAGGGCCTGCAAAAGTTGCTGACAATCATCCCAGGTGGGGTCATGAGTATTAAACACAGACTCGAGAAGGGAAATTAGGGCCTGCGGCTTTTCGGAGAATGGGGGATTCTGATGTTTCCAGTTATACAAGTCACTCATAGAGAAAGGAATGTACACATAGTGACCCTGTTCTACCTCCCTCAATGGAAACATAGGGACCAGGTCCCGTTCCCCCAGGGGTGCCTCCGGGGGTCCATACGCAGAGCCCCCTCGGGTGCGGGAGGGAGAGGTCGTGGAATCTGGAACTTCTCCCTCCCTTGGAGGGGACGGGTAGATAGACTTGATTCCCTTCTCCCCAGAGGGTGATTCCGCATAGGAAGGGGGTCTCATCCCGGGGTCACTAGGCTCTAAGGGGTCTGGCTCCTGCGAGAGGACCGGCCTGGGTGCCTGCTGCCTTAAGGTCTTTATTTCACTCGGTGCCATCACCAGAATACGAGAACTGGTGCGCAAGGAGCAGCATTGCAACCATGC